ATAAGCTTGACGAAGAATCCGGTTCTTCACTCAAGGACGAAACATATTGACATTAGGCATCATTTCATTAGAGATCATGTTCTCAAAGGTGATGTCGAAATTGAGTTCGTTGAAACACACAACCAATTAGCCGACATTTTCACAAAACCTTTAGAGAAAGAGTCGTTCTTCCGCATTCGTAGTGAACTCGGAATCCTTGACTCCACGATGATTTAAATTGTGCATAAATTATTATTTTTTTTGGTCCCTACTAACTTGAACGTCGGAGACGTTTTTTCTTTATTGCAGGGCTCTTTTTAAATTTTATTTTTCAGGTGTCAAAGGCAGGGGGAACAAAGTAAATCGATTTTTGCTTCAGACCTGGTGTAAATCGATTTACAGGCTTGTGATAATCGACTATCACAGCCTGCAGAAGTTTAGAGCACAGAAGCTGAAGGAGTAAACAATCGATTATCAACATTAAGATAATCGATTATCTGAGCCTGCAGAAGTTTAAGGCAACTCAGGCGCAAACTCCAACAATCGATTTACCAAAACATGACAATCGACTATTGAAGACTGCAGGACAATCAGCGGAGAATCTGAGGCATCTGATAATCGATTTACAGGTTATGTTAATCGATTATCAACGGCGATTTTTCAAAAATCTAACCGTTACAGAGACGTTAGAACTGCATTCAAGGCACCTTTTTGACTTCCCAAACGCATCTCAGGCCTCTTCCACTATATATTGGTGATATCCTTTCATTTTTACTCACTCAAATCACAATTCCTTCATATATTCATCAATATTTCATCCTTCTTGCAATTATTCTTCAGTGTTCTTGCAAAATCCCTGCAAATTTCTCTTTTTTTTGTCTTGCTCTCCCTCTCTCTCTTTGTTGAAATGGCTTCTTCCTCACCGGCAAGAACGTGGCTTCTTCCTCGGCTCCTCCACCACCGGCGCACAAGTACCTCGACGGGTCGTTCCTTTGGTTCAACGACCACGTAGAGGCGACGCGGTTCTCGGAGAAATTTGAGCACCGGGAGATTCTCCCTCCCCGATTCTCCACCGCCCGCTTCATTCATGACTCCATTCCACGTGAGGCATGGATTATCCTCGAACGTGGAAACTTCCTTGATCTCCTCTACATCAAGAAGGTCAACTATCAACCCTTTCTTGTTCGAGCTTTCTACTCGAACTTGAAAAAGGATGAGGACGGAGCATTGATCTCTAACGTCAACGGGGTGGACATTTATTTGAATGAGGAAAACATTCAAATTCTCACCGGGCTTCGACGGGATGGACAGGATCTCAGGCTCTACGTCGGAGAAGAAGGAGCACGATTCAACGAGACCGCCCTCTTGGAGGAAGTGGGCATCCGAAACTTCGTCCCCACTCCTCAACAGCGGCGTCCTACGATTTCTTCCATGAGTCCCGTGTATCGTTTCATCTTCTATATGTTGACACGGATCCTCAAGCCCAGGAAGTTCAACCACACCACTCTCTCCCAAGAAGACACGAAGACGATCCATGCGATGATTCACAACGCCAATATCGATTGGTGTAAATTTGTGATGATCCACATGTTCAACGCCACCTCCGACAACCGGCCGCTCCCCTACGCCCTCCTTGTCATGGCGATTCTTGAAGAATATAACATCAAAACCGATGTTGGGCCAAAGATAAAGGGGACAAAGCATTGGGAGATTGATGAATCCTCTTTCCACTC